ACGTCTAAACTTATAATAGAATCATATAAGAGTGAAAGGGTTGGCTATATAAACTAAATAGCGCAAGAAGTAAAAAGAGTAAAAGAGAAAGTATGAGCTTACTATCTTGTCAAAGTCAGTCAATTTTAAGTAAATGATGTACAAAAATAAATTCATGTCCATTCGCATACACATGCATATGTTCATATATATGCATATATACATACATATACATATATATATACTTACACTTTACATACGTACATTAACACATACATATGTACATACATATATAAATACATGTATACATACATACATATGTGCATGCGTGCCTGCATACATATATGCATGAATACATACATATAAACGCAAATATTTATATAGGTTAGATATAAATGCATATTTGTACATATACATACATATTCATATATGTGTATATATAGTACTTAAATGCATGCATACATACGCTTACACACATACAATTACTTCACTTTTGTTATTCTAGCACCCTTTTTATGTTTACTTATACGGTAAATGTATATACACGACATGTATGCATGTGAATTTTTATACAAATATATGTATGAATACATTTCTTATGTCACAAGTGACATTTATGTGGTTTCGTATTTTGTGTTCCTAGTTAGTTAAAACACATTCTCATAGGAACAGCGTATACCAACCAGTATAATAATTACATTTTTTCACTCATACATACATAAACACATACGTACAAACATATGTACATGCATATGCAGCGACTTTATACTTTGCGGTCAGTCAGTTGTAACATGCATGTCAAGCTATTCAAAAATTTTCTTTTTTCTTCACTTAGCCAGGATGATTTAAGAAGATTATGTGTTCCGTATTGTTTGCCGTAGTTGTTGTTGTTGTTGTTATTATTATTATTATTATTATTGTTTAAGTACACACAAGGCAAAGTCTGAGTCATATAACAAATAACGATTATGTAGATATCCATCTCTTTGTAAGTGTGTGTGTGCGTTTGTTTGTTTGTTTGTTTGTTTGTTTGTTTGTTTGTATGCATACATGGATGCATGAATGCGGTAGATGTGTATGTTACGCTTGTATTCATTTTCTCTACTACTTATCGTTAGTATATCTGTCTTTTGCATTATGTTTAAACAGGCGCTCCCTTATTGGTATTACACAAACAACGCCAACACACACACGCATACACACACACGCACACATACACATAGGCACGCACATACTCAAATAGTCATACACACATACATAGTGACACACAAGCACATCCGCATATAAGCAAACGCAACCAAACATCTGCTAGTGAGTCTATTTGGTCCCTAATAACACGACAAATAAAACGTTGACCATCTATTTTAATGTGTTGCTGTAGATAGTTAGTTAAGGAGCAGGCAAAATGTGCAATTATATAGGTATATACACAAGTTTTTAATGCTCGGATATGTATAAACTAATTGTACATGTCGAAGATGCGTGCTTGTGCGTGCCTCTCTGCATGTGTGTGCAAGTAGGTCTTTGTTGCATTGAATAAATGGAAAGGAGGCTCGAGACAGAAACTTACAAGAAGTTTTTTCTTTTTCCTTTTTGTCATGCTTACGCCTACTGTCAAAAATTTTACATCATTAAATTTCAAAAGAGAAGAAAAAAAAAAAGAAGAAAGAAGAACTCATAAATAGTTTACGTCTCCCGGTGGCCATCGTTTCGGGAAGATACCGATGTTCATATAAAATTTATACAGTGAAGCCGTTATAATATGCAAAGGTAGGAAAATTTGTATATTTTGCAAGTCTTCGGCTATGTGTATACATATTTTTGATCAACATCAAATTTTAAATCGATTTAAACATGTCCGCCTGTCCTTCCGTGTAAAATCTATTGTAAACATTCTCCTATCGACTTCAAAAGTCTTGCACGGAGGTTAATATTGAATATGGGCCAAATCAGTTGGAGGACACGCTTTCAAAAAGTCTTACTCATAACCTATAGCAGATAAATATAAATAAATTTGAAGGCATATTCAATGGATGATGATATAGCACCTATACAAAAATGGGAAAAATTAGCCACACTTACCCAATATGGTATTGTATCAAAATTTAATTTTTTTTAGACGCAGAAACAAGCCTAAGAAACCCCATAAAGTATAAAAATTCTTAAAAAATTTTGGATTTCGGACTAACCTAAGCATGTCCATCGTTTCGTTTATCCATCTGTGTTGTATTTGTGGTAATCACCATATTTTCCAAAAGATTAAGAAGCGATTTAAATTTTTCCAAGGGCACTTCTACAATGTCCACACGCCTATGTAACAAAAAATTTTATTTTGAAAATAGAAAAAATCAGCCACGCCACCCTATATTATAGGGTAAGAAAACGAAGTTCTTTTACAAGGTTTTCTTATTTGTTTAAATATGATCCGTCACTCAGGTAATATGCCTTTATGCATAAGCACGGCGATGGTTAGGGAGGAAGAAGTGATGAGAAAGTGATGTAGCTGCAGCCTGGAAGAAGAAGTTTAAACATTCACTATAGCTGCGGACACGAACTAGTCGTAATGAAAGTATTGCCTACCATACTAGGCATATTGAATATGCCGAGTTGGCAGTCACTCTACTTATCTGCCAGGCTCTTGGGCAGCTCAAAACCGTATTTGAAAACATTAATTGAGACTGATTTGGTGGAATATTGTTATATTGCTACAGTACGATTAACTATTTACGATCTGCAAAGAAAAGTCTCAAAACTTATGTTTTATGAGGTTTCTTGCTAGTCGGTATACTAAAAGTGAATCACTAAAATATATTGGGCTATTAATAATCGCGCTAACAGATAAGTATAATTCGAAGGCATTTATTTTTGAAAAACACCGCAAATAGCTGCTTGGAAACACTTAAAGCTCTTCTGGAGGGTATCTATATATATATATATATGTATATATACACACATCTTTTAGTAGTAGCGAGTTTTCACTACGAGCTACTCATAAAGCGTGTGTGGCCTTGATGTCGAAGGATGTATTAAGATAATACCATAGGGAAAGTCTGTAGTGGTTTTGCAATTTTAAGACAAATCTTTTCAGAAGAGTTTAGCATTGTTGCATCGATTTTTACACTTTCTCTTAAAGTCGTTCCGAGTTTTTAAACTTTAAAGCATACGTTCCTTAAGAATGACACGACGGACACAAAAGCATTCTGCCAACTTTTTTTTTTATGGTGTATGCTACATTCAACTGTTTTTCTTAATCTCTGGGTAATGCGTTGGGAGTTTAACAAGACAATAGCGCTAAAGCAACACTTGAAAAAATACGGAATGCCGTTCGGACTTTGACGACAACATTTTAAAGACTATATTGGAACAGCATTCATACCAATCAACAAGAGATATAGCAAAAGGTTGAATAGTTTTACTTATGACTCGACCGAACATAACATGTTTCAGAATATGTCACGTTTATATTCTCATCTCTCTCACGGGGAGAGCAATAGCAGCTATTGAACTGGTAGTTGACATTAAAACTCTAATAAGATGGAAAAAATATTATTAATTCATCACCGGAGTCTATGATAATTATTTTAGTAGATAAAAGCGCCATTATATATTTTACAGGCAGTAAGAAAATACATACCAACTAATCATGCTTATGTGGTAAATGAGAAATTTTATGTAATGTGATCGCTGAGAACATAAGTTAATTGCCTGTTTGTTGTTACATTTGAATTTTTAAGAATTTTTTTCAAATTTACCATAAATAAATAAAAATATTTTGTTTAAGATGGCAATATGTATGTCTTTTATTTATTTATTTTTTTTTTGTTTTGAAATTTGTAGGAACCTTCATACTTACAAGATATAAATTAGCTAAGCATTTCACTTAAACACCATATATATAAGAGGGTATTGTATTTATCATTATCATCAGCGTCGTCATCACCACTAATGTGACTGTTAACAAAGTAAATTGCAAACGCACGGCATACACATATACATAAATATTAAATGTATATATATATATAGCTACAATGACCTCTCTTCAAAATAGAAGAAGAGGAAGAAAAGCATATGCACTATTGCTTTCTCTTTCGTTTTGTCTCTTCTCCCTATCTCTTACCCTCTGCTCATTTTTTTTATTCTCTCATTCACTCTCTTGCTCACTCTTGGTTTCGTGAAACTCTTTATTCAAAGTTGAACTCTTTAAATAATTGATTTCGACATACATATAAACATTTTGTTACATATTTTCTATATGAATTATTTGTTGTTGTTGTTATTGTTGTTAGTAGTATTTTCTTTACTATCGTGTACCCATACGTGCTACGTGAATGCATGTAATTAAAAAGCAAACGTGTAGATAAAAAACAAAAACAACAATAGCAGCTAAAGTAAGAAAAAAGAAAAATCGAACTGAACAAGGAAACTGAAAATGCAAAACGAAAGCCATCAAACCAGCTCGCTAGTCATACAACCACAAACGAACCAGTCGTCGTCGTTGTCGTCGTCGTTGCCGTTGTCGTCGTTGTTATAATCATTCACAACTTTAAAACCTTATGTGTTTAGCGAGAAGAGTAAACGTTTAGTTCAACGTAAACTTTCAAAGTGAAAACGTCTCGTGTATATAAGCGCTTAGTATGATTTTTTTAAACACTACTACGTGACCCTAAACCGTATGCTGTGCACACCAAATATTTTATATATCTTTTATGACCGTGTGTTTAATAAAATTTGGCAAAAAAAAAAATAAATAGATATATATATATATATATATATATATATATATATATATATATATCATCTTAATAAAAATAGAAAAAAACAATTTTTTTAATTTAAATTGAGAAAATTTATCTAACAGAATATATTTTAACTGAAATTTAAAATTAATTTCTAAAAGAAAAAAAAAGTAAAAATTGTGATGATTTTTATATACAGATTATAAAAAGAAAAAAAAGAATTGATTTTATCTTTAAAAAGAAGTTGTTAAGAAAGGAAAAAATATACAAGTAATACAAAAAAAAAAAAAAATAAAAAAAAAAATAAGTAAATAAAATTAAAGTGCAAAAATGTTTGATGCTTATGTGAAAATTAAGAAAAAGCGTACACTGCAGGAATTTGAAGAAAGTTTTCTCCAAAATTTTGAGGAATCCACTGTTGATGCCAATGCAAATTTAGATGAAGATTGTTGCTGTTTGGCGCCAGCTAAAGCAGTCGAAGCTGCAAGCACAACAAGCGGCAACAGCAACCCAACTGAAAATTGTAGCCGTTTACAAGAATTAATAGCAGCACCTTCGCTGTTGCAGCGTCATCATGTTGCAGGAGAATTATCACCAACAACCCTGAGTTTAACACCTCAGGGCAATAGCCCACCTACACCACCGCCCTCGACACCACCGACACCTGCCTTAAATGCAATGCGGGAACAAGATTCTCAGCAGCACATAGCAACCACATCTCCGTCTTCTTTCTCCTCTTTGTCGTCGTCGTCGTCGTCGTCATCGTCATCCTCGTCTACGTGTTCTTTAGCTAATCATTTAGCAGCTGCACACCCTCAACAATTACCAACCCTTTTGCAACAACAATTGGGTCACCCACAAAAGGAAAGTGGTACATTGGCTGCAAGAGCAACAGCCTCGACGTCGTCAAATTCAACTGGGTCTAATAATCACAATACAAAAAGCAGTCGAAATTTGCAAACTTTGGCACAACATTTAGCGACACCATCAACTAATAACAGCAACAATAATGATAGCAGCACCGCTCGTAAGCCAGATGCATTTTTCACGATTAGCACCACAAGCGCCAGCAACGCTGCAAGCACTAGTAATTTAGAAAATGTATTAAAGCATTACAGTTCCTCGAGTACTAATAATATGAGTACAAATACTAACAACGCTAAGGCACCCTCTGCTACTTCTTCTACGCCAACGTTAAGAAGTTTAGTTACAAACTCCCTTAACTCCTCTTCTTCTTCGTCTAATTGCCCAATAACACATAGCAATAGTATTATTGCAAATAGATTAAACGCGCCACCAGCAAATTCCACCTTTATATCTCCGGATCAACAACATTCCGCTTTGACGAATACTATAACGCAGCGTATTCATCAATCCATACGACGTCATTTAAATCAACAACAACAACAACAACAACAACAACAATATCAAACTACAGCAACAAGTCATCATCATAGGCCCCAACCGCCATCCTCCCAGCATTTTCATAATCATTATCAACAACATCATAATCATCATAATCATCATAATCATCATCGTCAGCATCAACATCAACATTTACATCAACAGCATCATTATCACAGTCATCATCATCAACAGCAGCAGCAACAACAATTGCCAAACACCGCGAATTCTTCATCGCCTGTATGCGTAGTATTATTGGTTAAGTGTCCCAACTCGAAAGAGTATTGTAATGCAGCGGCCACCGCTGCCGCAATAGCAGCACAAAATAATAATTTAATACCTCCACCACCAACAATTTCTCATCATCTACCAACATTACATTGCTGTGATAAAAGGTAAAATTTCTTTTAGCAAAAATGCAACCGTGCACATTTTCTTCATATCTCTTTAAAGTAACTCTTAAAAGAAGAAAGTCAGATAAGAGCTTTCTCTTAAATGTTAAAAGGAAAGAAAAAACATTCCATTAACGCATTCGACATAGTTTGCTCTCTTCACTTCCTGATGGCCAGCGCGCGTTGTTTGTGATGATACGAAATTGTAAGGATTTGTTAAATAATTTTTAGCTTTTTTTATTTCTGAGGTCATTGTTCACTCATTGCTGCAGAAAAACGTATGATAATTTGGTTTTGGAATCCTATGTCCTAGTTCTCTGTCCTTCGTTCTCATCTTCTCTTCTT